GGGTATTACGGGAGGCTGCAGTTGGGCCTTTGGCATGGCAGCGAGCAGCACTCGGGTCTGTTAAACCGAAAGAGCTTGCGCCGAAACCGAAGCTTTTCTGCGCAAAGGAGAACCGTGGGGCTTCCGCCAGTTCCGCGCAGGGCCCCGCTCCGCCCCGCGCTGCTCCGCGCCTCCCAGGCGGGCAAGGCGGGATAGGAGACACCGGGGACTTCCTTCTGCCGCCTGCTTTGCGGTTGGGTGCTCCAAAGGCGCGAGTTTTGTAGCCTTGTGGTAAAGAGGTGAGATTTGTGGCATGCAAATGTTAAACTGAGGCTTGTGCTGGAGCTGCTGCGTTAAGTAGGGCAGCTGGGGTTACTGAGTGGATTTTAGTAGTTCAACGACGCATCTGTATTGTGTTGTGGGTTGTTTTTTTGTTTGTTTTGTTTTTTTTTTTTAATTAAAGAGCTGTTTCTCAAAATACTCCCATCAGAACATTTGCTACTAAAACCTCTTGAGGGTTCTGAATATCAGATAGAGGCGGGTTTGCGTTGCTGCTTGTTTCACGGGTTAGAAAAACGTGTTTGGGATTCTCCTGAATTCGTCTGTGTTAGATCCTGTTTCCAGTATTGCGGTAGAGAAACCGTGTAAACACGGGTCGGTGCAAAGAACCCGGAGCCAAGGCCAACAACTTGAGCCGCCTTGTGTTAGTGAAGAACAGGCTTTCTAGTGAATGTGCTTGTCACGCCTCAGTGGGTGGGTTAAGAGAGGTAACTTGATCTTCCGTGGAACCCGGTGGTTTAATTCTAGGCTTTGCTAGTCCCTGAGCTGTGGCTGCTGCCGAAAAGACGCGATCTTGTCTTCCTCTGGTTGCAAGTGGTTGTATACCACTTGTGGGAGACAGGACTGGGGAGCCAGTATGACTTGAAAATCAGTACACTTTTTTTTTCCCCCCCCCCCCAGTGGGTTGGTTTTAAATAGTTCCCTAGTCTGCAGAAAATCGGGCAGGGCACGGTAGGGCCTCTGCTTTCAGGATGGTGCGGATTAGGGCGTTTTAAAGTGTTTACACAAAACAATCTTTTGTCACTGTACTTCCAAAAGATCCTAATACCTTATTTGTGAAGTGTGTCGGACCAAAATTCATTACTTTAACATGTGATTTCTGAGAGACTGCTGTGCAGCTGGATTTACTGTTCTAAAATATTCCACCGGCTAAACAAGATATTCTGTAACCGTGTTTTGTCATAATTTTCAGCTCTGAAATTCAACTATTTGTGGAATTATTTTTTTTTTTATGTGCCAGGTCTTAATCACAAACCTAAGAGTGGGTTTTTTTTAAGAGTTCTAATTCTTGTGCTTGCTTAAGACTTAAATTGCCACAAAACTACCTCTTTGAAAAGTTTTCATGTTTAGTGTCAGATGATACAGTTGTTAAAAAACCGTTTTTTCATACGAAATTTGAGTATGGGATTGCTTGCCAAGTCTTTCAGGTACAAACTATAACTGGATTCATTCTTTGGTTTTGCGCAGAGCTGATCAGTTGGTACTTGAGTAAAATGGAACTCAAAAGTTAGAACTCACATTCCTTTACATGATTTTCCTTTATGTGGCAGAGATAACTAGCAAAATGATGATCAGCTGCTTACATTAGTAGCTCTAAAATCCATCATATGCTTGATGTCTCCTCTGGAGGAAAAGTAATTTATTTGTAACAGAAATTTTCCAATTTTTATTTAGTAGTAGTCTATGGATCCTGTTTATTGTAGGAGAGCTTTGTCTTTATTCTTACCCAAGCTTCTCTCCAGTTGCTTCAGTAGTCCTCATCAATATTTATTTTAGATGCTATAAAGCAAACTTACTTTTCTCTTGCTGCTTACATGGGTATCCTGAGGCAAGATGGAGTGGAATATGGCATGTTTTAACCAGATCTCTTTTCCATCTTTTTGGGTTTTTTTGCAGCCCTTCAGAGTAAGTGATGACCAGGTTTATGGGTTATGGGACTGAAAGGAATTGCCCTAGCCAGCAGTGCTGCTGCAGAAAAATTATCCCATAATTGAACTGAATGTTTCTGTTGTTGCTTAAATTTAAGATCAAATATGGCGTATCACCACAACTTTAGCCTCAAGTGCTGTTGACTGTTGTTGCCACAACAGTTGTTAGAAACACTTGGTTTTCAACTCTCATTCCAATTTTGACCTACTTTTATATTAACTCGATTCCCATTATTTGTTCTAAGTAATACAGATTGAAGATCATTGTTGCTTAGAATTTGATTTCTGTGCAATTGATTCTTTTTTTATATTATTTTTTTCTCCACACAGGTGTGGAAAAATGGCAAAGAGAATTGCAGAGAAGGAACTGACTGACAGAAACTGGGATCAGGAGGATGAAGCTGAGGAGGTAAGATTCCCCCCCACCCTGCAGGTAGTAGGGTAGTTACTTACATGTGCTGTTTATCTTGTGGGTAAAATCTACAGTAAAATTGGTTAAAAGTGTAGCAATTAAAGATAATTTTTTATATGTGTTTTTTTTTTTTTATTTTATAAACCTTCTGATATATGCAAACCATATGGCAAAGCAGTTTTTAACAGTTAAAATGACATCAGTAGCTCGGGGGAAAGGAACTTTATATTTCTGAAGGGAACCCCAGGCTTGTTAAAATGCATAATGCTTTTGAACTCTTCCAGTGAGTGATGGGTATTTTTACTGAGATCACAAGAAAAAACAAGTTTTGATTTCTTGAGATAAATTTTAAATTTTCTTCGTGTCTTGTCCTTTTTTTTAAAAAAAAGAAAAAAAAGGTCAGTAATAGTTAATTTCAGAGATATGTTAATTTGGAGGGTTTAGCTGAATGTCCCTACACAGCCAGAGGAATTAGGCAGTCAAGTGATATGTTTCATCTGATTGTAAAAAGAGATTTTCACGTTTAGTTTCTCATACTTCTGGCTCTGAACAAACTGTTCTAGCTTCTGCGCTACTAAGAGTATTAAAAGTTTAGGCCTGTAAAATGTGGGAAAGAAAACTGACAGCGTTCTTCCAGAAATTTGAATATAAGAAAACTTAATTTCCTCATTTATTGCAGGGTGGTAATTAGTCATTAGCTGCCTTTGCTAATACTTGAATTGCAGCAGACTGCAGGACTTAGAGCCTACATCTCAGTGTACCTTCTCCAGACCAAAGGTTGTTTGTAACAGGGCAGTACTGACGGATTACCTTCAGCAAAGATATCTTACAGCTTTGTTAAAAGTAAAAGAAAAATTATTGAATTATTTGCTGTAATAAAATTGCAATTGCACAAAGAGAAATGTCATGCAGAACAAGAAAGAGAGTTCTGAAAGTATCAACTAATGTCCAAGTAGCTGGCAAGGTAATCACAGTACTCTATTTTCTAGGTGTTTTTTTTTACTTATTCCCTTATTTGTGAGGAGCAGTGTTACAGCTGTGTTCAAAAACTTACTGTGGTTGTCTCTTCAGACTGTGGTGGACTGAGGCATTCTGAGAATGTCACTAATGATGCCATAACTTCCTCTTAAAGGTGGGAACGTTTTCAGTAGCTAGTGAAGAAGTCCTGAAGAACAGAGCTATTAAGAAAGCAAAGCGCCGAAATGTTGGATCGGAGGTAATGTGATCACCGAGCATTAGTGCTGTAGTTTGACTCGATTGCAAAATACGACATCTCTGCTCAGGTTTTTACTTATTTGGGCTTGTAATAATACTGCATAAAGCTATTATTTTAGAAGGGATATACAACTAGTCAGCTCATACCTGCAAATTAATTTTCACTTCCTGTTCTCTAGCAAGAATAAGGCCAGAACGAAAAATGGGTAATCCTAGTATTGACTGTGTGAAGAGAGATGTGCATTTTGAAAGTATAAGTGCGGTGTTTCAGACACAATGTCACCTACAGCTGGGTAAAATAACACTCAAACTGCTCCAGTTTCATCCTTTGCAGAGATGGGAGGCCTGGAAATTGGAAGTTACTAGTTATCCATACTGGAGGGCTGGGGGATGTCTCAGAGGCTAAATAAAGAAAAACTGTTCTGAGAAGGAAACTGGTGTCTTTTGTGAAGAATGCTGCTACTTCTTTTTTTCCCCCCTGTGAAGAGCTTTAGTGCCACCTACTCTTTGTAATAACAAATTGAAAACTGAAAGGTAGTTGGCCTCTCTTACAGGTTTGGTCCCTGTGAAAGCATTAACCCAGTCCAACCAAATTGTAGTCCTTTCAGAAATTCCTGACAGATGCTTCATCATATATATATCTTCCTATGAAACATCCAACAGGGCATGTGCTGTGTGAGAAGTAAGACATAGACTGGACCTATCACTCAAATTGGTTTTGGATTGGATGGGCCTAGGTACAGTTAGGGCCTGGATAGTTTTCTCCCGTGTTTTGATCTTCTGCTGTCCAAGCAATGTAAATGAGGAAGCTGCTTTAATCCTACTTTGGCCTGTAGTAGTTTTAGCCACAAATGTGGTAGAGGATGCAGTTAATTAAAGGGTTGTACTGGGAAGAGGTGGTGCAAAAAATAAACCACAGCTTGAACAGGAGGGATTCGGGGAAAATGGAATAGGAAAACCAGACCTGGCTGAGAAAGGGGACCAGATGATGGGAGAACAAATAGTATTGAGCCTGAGAGTCTGCTGCCAGAGATCAAAGCTGGGGGAAGAGCTAGGATAGTCTGGGCAAAGGCTAAAAAAACAGAAGAGATGGAAGGACACCTGAGGTTGCATAACAAACCTGTGACATATGTATTGATGTCCCTAAATGGAGCAAGCAGAACGCTGCAAAAAGAAAGACTGCAGTTTAACTGGAATGTCCAGAGAGAGAGGGAGGTAGGCTGATCAAAGGGAGACAGAATAAAAATAGCTACTTAGAAACGAGGAACAGGGGACTGCGCTGGGAAAGGTAAAGCACAAAGGGAAACAAAAAGAGCCTGTACCCACAAGGGCAGATACTGGAATAGAATCTAAAACGGGTGAGTTTTGTGATTTCTTCAGTGGTAAAAGCAGATGAAACTGGGAAGCAATTCTCCTTTTCCTCTGATGGCTTTCCAGAGATGTTGAAAGTCCCCTTCCGGTAATGAGCGCTCGTTACCTCAGGAGACATCATATAGAGTACCTACAAGTGGCAGTGCCTATTTGTGTGTTAATCACACTGTATCTTTCAAAACCACGTAAGAAATATACCATAAAATACTACGGTTGTAAAGATAGTGTTGAGAACTAGGTCATGTAAAGGCTGCAGAAAGCACAGATGCCATCTCATCAGGTACAGTCTTTGCCTCTCCCATCAGTCCCACTGGAATATTGTGGGGAAATCACTCAAATGTTACACAGGTGACTACAGATGGTGCTGTTCTGAGGAGTGCCTTGAAGCGTTGGGCTCTTGATTGTAGTTGTAAATGCTAAAAGTTGCTGAAAATAAGTCTGCGATGATACACTGCTGTGTAATTATTTAAAGAAAACAAGATGCCCTGAATGTCTAAATAGGTAGTCAAACACATCCGCTGCTCTGAGCAACTTTTCTGGATGCACTTCCTAGATCTAGTTTATTTTCATACCAACCATCTGAGTCCTTTAAAAATAGTAGCAATGCGTGTCATGAGGAAGCTATTAACTTTTGTTTACATAGCTGACTTAGAATAACACACCGAATGACATGCTGAACCAGGGTAAAGAAATGGAATATCAGGTGGGGATAGGATTTTTGTGGAGATGTAACTGGTTGTGTGTCTCTTTTTTTTTTTTTTTTTTTTTTTTCCCTCCCCCCAGTCGGAAAGTGGAGGAGCTTTTAAAGGGTTTAAAGGCTTTATATTGCCTTCTGGAAAAGGAGGAGGTGGCTTCAGCGGATTTGGTAATGGTGCAGGAATAAAGTCTTTAGATGGGCTGTCTAATGGAAGCAGTAGTGTCTCTAGCACTCCTTCGTTCAGCAGTTTAAAGACCACCTCCGAAACACAATCGGCGTTCGGTAAGTTTTAAATAAGCTTTAAATATTTATCAATTCGGCCATAAAATCTGTAGGGTTATTTTAACAAAAAAACAAATTCAAACAACGCTCTAGTTCTGCCTTAAGGTTTTGAGACTTTATTTCTCTTCGTAAGATATCTTAAAAGGATTTTTAGATTGCTGGAGGGGCAAGTTATCAAATGTCTGCAGTTTGAAATTGGAAACTAAATTCATATTTGATCTAATACTGGAGGTAAAAGCTTTATGGGCACAAATCGAATGGAAGATATTGGTACAAGACACTCTCTGAGTAGTATAAAACAGCTGATAATATGTTCCAGTTAAATAATTGTCCCAATTCTCTGGATTTAATTTATTTTAAAAACACAAGCTAATGGAAAATGTCCATTTAGTAGGACTGCAGTTTCTTTGTGTATTTTTTTTTTTTTTTAAGGTCTTGATTCCTTATATTTTGCAGTTCATGGTAGGTACATGCTGCATAGCTAAAGCCTTAACCTTTTTTACTCTGTACATCTCACATTGCAAAGTCTGTCTGGAATTTTATCTGTTACATTTATACCTAGATTTTAAGACACTTCAAATATTTTAGCCAGTCTTATGCTTTAGTAGTCCCTAAATATTAGAGGCAGAAATGTTGACCGTGCCACAGTGTTTTAGAGTCAGCATGCTGCTGAATAGAAATGGTGGAGTTTGAAGTTTAGAGTAACTTAGATTTCAGTGAGCTTAACTAATTGAAGAGAAACTTAAATACTTAATGAGGATTTTCGTAATGTGCTTACTGTGGTTTTTATACGGAAACCACTCAAATGTGCAAAATCATGGGCTAGTGGGTTTGGAGTTTTTTGAAGCACATGTAGCATGAGATAGCTAAATGTTTTAATAACTGTTAAAGCTTGGTAAAGCTTGAATTAAGATTGAGGGTTTGGTGAAACACAAAACTTTTCTTTTTTAAATGTTACTCTGTACAAGGTTTCTGTGGATTTTTTTTATATAGAACTCTGTGCTCTATCTACTTTGTCTATCCCTGAACTAACTTTCTTGTCTAGGCTTAGGTCTGTTTCACAGCATTGTCTGTTTACTTGTGTCTGGCACACGGGGTTGTGATCCCAGAGAGTCACCCAGCCAGAATGAGTGATTTGATACAGAAATACTGAGAACATTAGTCAGGCTTTCATGAGAACTCTGCTTCTAGAACTGTTCTGAACCATGTTTTTTCCTTCTAATAGGATCCACAATGTCAAATGGCCCTACTACTACTGCATTTACCGAGAAAAAGGCTGCGAGCCCAAAAGCTAATGGTGGCAGTCAACCGTCCTCATCTGGATACACTCAGAGCAAAGTTTGTAGCTCTAGTGTTTACCACAAACAGTTAGCAGCTTTAAACTGTTCTGTGCGTGACTGGATAGTTAAGCACGTCAACACAAACCCACTTTGTGACCTGACACCCATCTTTAGAGACTATGAGAAGTATTTAGCAAACATTGAACAGCAACACGGCGGCAGTAGCGACAGTGGCTCTGAAAATGAAAGCAACAAGACACCTGGCTCTCAGCCTGCTTCTACATTTGGTAATTCAAAGCTACAGCAAGGATCAACATTTTTGTTTAACAACAACAAAAGCGAGGATACATCGGACAAAAAACCTGAAGCTGCATCAGAAAAAAAAGACCCGTTGTTAGGAGCTACGTCCACCGTCTCGTTTAATTTTGGCAAGAGTGTCGACAGTTCTGTTTTGGGTTCCCTTGGTTCAGGAACACTTAGTAGTTTCTCATTTTCTCCTGGGAATTCAGGTTTGTTTGGAAAAGATGCAAACCAGGCTAAGTCTGTCACTGCAGTATCCACCAATGTCTTGGAAGCTCAGACAGAAAGCGGCAATGGTGATGATAAAGGTAAATTCTGTTGAAAATGATGATTTTTTTTTTTAATGGTAAGCTGTGAATGTGTGTGCCTTAAGAATAATGCCAAGATGAAATAATACTAAATTGAACTAGATCATAAGTCTTGAATTTGAAAGTACAAAACTGTACCGCTAACCTGAAAATACCTCAGTCTTGCATACTCTTAAAATAACACTAAGAGTATATGGTGATCAAACCCTGTGTATTTCTGCCAGATTTATACTTTCTGTAACAGAATACAGTTCTGTAGCTGAATGCAAGACTTGAAACGATGACATTTAAAGCAACTGGTGTGTTCATCTTTGAGCCTGCAGGACGTTTGAACCCTGCTGCTTTTCCTAGTGGGTTTGTCAAGAGATCCCCTCAGTAAAATGTGTGAGATAGAGAACAGTTTCATACATCTTTCTTAATAGATGGTAAGGACAATAAAATGACAGAGTGCTTGATGGTTTTACTCTGCTGTTTCCTTAAGCTAGGCACAGTGAGCTGATAGAAATCCTAGCAGCTGAGGGACTGGAAAGGGACAGTCCTGCCACTCTCTCTTGGCTGTCATTCCTGCAACTAGCTCCCCCCAAAATTAAACCTGGCTGTTGGAAGTATTTGTTAGGCTTTACTTGGACCCCTGTGTGGAGACTGTTCTTTGAAATATTGTAACTTATCCCCCCAAGAGAAGGCTTTGACTTAAGTTTGACTTGCTAAGCTTTCTATTTTTTGGTTTTGATTGTTGGGAGTTGGGTATTTTCATCCCATTTAAATGGAAGATGAGCATAAAGTTGTTTGAGGGATGTGGCTGAATGAAAAGAAGTTAAGACTTTTCTGTAGCTGAAGCTGCTTCAGAGCCCACATGGACTTAAAACATATTTTGACAATCCCTGGCAGGCCACATGTGTGTATGTCCAGTACAACATGCTTATGCTAGTTCTAGTACAATGCCAGAACTACCTTCCAGATTACATGCTGACAACATTAATGTATTAAAACTTTTTAATTAAAGGAGGAGAAGAGGACGAAGAAGAGCCACCAAAAGTCATTGTTAATGAAATAAAAGAGGATGATGCTTTCTACTCCAAGAAGTAAGTGACTTTAACTTGGAAGAGCAAATAGAATTATAATTTGGAGGATAAAGTTCATACCTGCATATTGCTGTTCTTCACTACTGCAGTGCAGAATTAGTGATGTCTATATTCTTGACTTCCTAGTTAATAAAGCTTGTTAGGAAGCCATATAGAACATGAAGTTTCACTTGTAAAAAAGTAATTACAGACACAACTGCATGAGATCTTCCTAAAATTCTTGCCTGCCTTGGACACAGCACTAGTAGCTAGTCTGTGTTCTACTTGGGATCAGTGTTTTGCAAATGAAGACGATGTTTCTGCCTTCATCGGGCTTTGCAGGTTTAAACTGTAGGGCTCGTAGCACAGAAATAACACACTGTACTTCTGAAAAAGCAGCCAGGTGCTCAGCTGTTTGCAGAGCCTAAAATAAGACTCTTGGGTTGGAAAACGCTGATTGTTGTATGAAGGAGTGAACAAGTTGTACTTTCAAGTTCACAATGAGACTAACTCTGCTAGAAGCAGTTTTTTCAAAGCCTGTTCAGTTGTCCAGGTAATTGCATGTCTGCTTAACACAGCACAGAATTTGTCCCTCTACACAAAGTCATTTGCTTTATCTGAGAGAAGGTTCATTTATGATGAACGGCATTAGGTGTATTAGAGCTTCACTTCAAAATGTTTTTAAATTTTACATTCTCATGGTTTTGTAATTAATGTTATTAAACAGTAGCTTACAGTTACTTCTCCTTAGAGGCCCTGAGTACAGGTTGCTGTGCATTTTACTTTTCCCTGAAAGTTATATGCTTGTCATTTGGATACTAAAAGAAATAATTAACTTTCTGAGAAGGACGCTCTGTTAGCACATGAAACAAGGTCAAGAAGAGTAAAGATCAATGCTACTCACAGCCCGTTAACTCCCGATTATTGTTAAACTGTTGGCTTACTGTAAGATTTATAGATCTGTGTGTATTTGTGTTTAAGCTCTACAAACAAGTGTGGGGTGTTTTGTTTTGTGGTTTTTTTTTTTGCACAGGTGCAAACTGTTCTACAAAAAGGATAATGAATTTAAAGAGAAAGGTGTAGGAACATTACACTTAAAACCAGCAGGAAATGAAAAAACTCAACTCCTAGTCCGAGCTGATACTAATTTAGGTAAGTAACTTTCTTCTAGTAGCAAGTGTTGATGTGAAGTTTCCCTGCTAAGCATTAGGATTTTTTTGTTACGCAGTGTAACAAACGCGATCAGTGAAAGTCTTTCTACTGGTTTTGAGTCATTTCAAGTATTGAACAAGCAAGTGGCTGCCTCTAACGACTGTTATGAAATAGTGCACGTGGCGCAGTGCAAGGAAGTAAAAAATTACAGTGTAGGCTTGTGTATTTTTTTTAATAGCTTTTCTCCATCCCTGACTCGTTGAGTGACTTTGAAACATGGCTTAAGGTCCACAGCGAGAAGTACACGTGTGTCAGGAGTGATAAATGAAGGGATTTTTGTGCCAGGATGCAGGCCAGCTGCCCTTTGTCTGCCGTTCAGCCCCCGGCTGTAAACCTTTGGCCCTGCGGGCAGACGCCCGGGTACCTGAGGTGAAGGGGAGGATCCTGTAGGCCAGGCCTGCAGGATTTTGCTCTGAGCGCTGCTCTTCGAACGTGTGCTGAGGTCCAGCTGTTGGACCTTCAGTTGGATCAGAAGTGGTAGGTTGATTCTGTGGAATTTTAGAGTAGCCTGTAAGGTGATAGTTCCTCAGAGTATCTTTTTGAGACGGACATTACCACATACAGCTCATTAACAGAGAAAAACACTCAACTGTTTCTCTGCTTTTATAAGTTAGGGATGTGTCCAGGTTTTTAAGGTGTAATGTTCTGGCTGAAGAGTGTTTACACACTCAAACTGCAGATCAAATGTTGATATTCATTGTCGAGGCTACACTTCAGTACCTGCTTTCAAGAACCTTGCCCGCGGGGTTGACCCGCTCTTGACAGCTTCCATAAACCAGGATAATTATTATACTTAGAGAAGACCTGAGGACTAAAGCCATGCAGCAGCGCAGGGCCTCGGTACCTCTTGCCTCAGTTGCTGTTCATAACATGCTCTAGCAAGTCTGTGTGAAGTCTCTGCAGGCCCCTTAGGGGCAGTTTTCAAACACCTGGTGAGATTGGGACTCCGGTGCTAGTGACATCTAAATCCTTCTTGTGGAGACCTGGGCAGTTCTTAGCAGTTAAACTGAAGGCAGATGGATGGTGGAGTTGTAGGTGCTTTCAGCATTTCCGTGGGGATTTGAATGTGTTGAACAGAGCAGATGAAAACTTTGCTTTCTCCAAGTTACCTACTCTTTAACACAAGTCTTGGTTTTCACTCAGCTGATGCTAATTTTCATGATGTTGACTCACATTCCCTCTACCTTCATCCGAGGTGACGTATTAGGAAATCTTTCCTTTTTCTTCAGCTCATGAACTAAGACATTTCAGCTCGGTTGTTTCCAAGCCTCGGTTTCTAGCAGCTGCTGCAGTCGTAGTGACGCGCGCTTTCCTTTTTGCTGTCTTCACACAGCGCTCTAATCCTTTCCTAAAATCTCGCTGTGTTGAAAAACTGAACTGGAAAGGAAGGCGAAGACTGACTTTTCCCTAAACACTACTCCCGTGTTCTGAACTATTTACCAGGTTTACAAAACGTGTGCATCTTCCGTGGAAGCAGATTGGAGTTTGTTTGCAACTCTTTTACTAGACCACTAATCCCGAAGCTCAAACTGGCGACACAGTTTTTAACAAGTTGGAGTAGAGCTGCTGCTGTTCGTAACCCGGTGGCAGACCACAGCAGATGGATTGTATGATTTGAGGACACGAAGTGCTGCTTCTACCATAGTTTGTCTGATTTTTTTTGGCTTAACGTGTCTGTAGGTGTGTTGCAGCTAACATTCTGCTTCTGCTTGGGAGCTGCGCTTGACGGTCAGAGCGAGTAACCTGCGTGAGCGTGAACTAAGCGCTGGGACTGGATTCCTCACTGGCTGCTTCTCCCTTATCCCCTTCCCCTTTTTCCTGTGTGTCCCTACTATCATTTGATACTCCTCAGATTGCTCCCTTTAAAAAGGGAGGACAGAGCATTTTCAGATATTTCCTCATTCCTAATGAGGGAAGAAATCTTTGAGAACGGTGGCCCTGAGCAGATGCTTAGAGAAGAATAAGATAAGTCTATGTGACACTTGAAGTGCCTTCCTTCCAAACACGAACTTAAACCCCTCTTTAGTAAGTATACTAACACCTGTATTGCAGTAAAAGCTGAAAAACTGCTAACTGTATTTTTTTTTTTTTCCTCCTCACATGCAGGAAACATCCTGTTGAATGTTCTCATTCCACCTAAGATGCCGTGTACGAGAACCGGAAAAAACAACGTTCTTATAGTTTGTGTTCCAAACCCTCCGATTGATGAGAAGAATCCAGCTGTTCCTGTCACTATGTTAATAAGGGTGAAAACAAGTGAGGATGCAGATGAGTTGCACAAAATCTTACTGGAGAAAAAGGAGGCTTAAATAAGTTGCAGTCAGTTTTTTTTTTTTTTTTTTTTTTCCTTCCATTAACTTCACTTGAACACTTAACTCTTTACTCTGATATTAAGAACTGTTAGAGGAATTCTGGGAAAAAATTCTGTGAGGAAAAGCTAAACTAGCTAATAAAAGCTTTAAATAGAACACAAGTGTTGGACTGTGCTCCCTCATTTGTCAACATCTAAAATGTGGGACCTCTTCTGGATAAAGCACTTAGCAATTAAAATTTTCAAGTGTGTTTTTAACACCGATTTGACTGAACGGACTGAAATCAGAGTACAAAAACCTGGTACCAGAGCTTCCTCACAAACTGCACTGCAATGCAACAGCCTCCTCTTTGGAGAAGGGAGGGTGGCGTTGAACTCTCAAAACTGTTTCTAGGCTCCGGATTTTTAATTTTCATTGGTCTGTCGTATTCTGGTGAGACTTAAATTTTTTTCAAACTTGGTGACACTGACATACCCACCACTGCTAGTGTATATTGTACTGTGTTTTAAGTCTTACAGACTCGTGTGCTTTTGGGACTCGGAGACTGCATCTCCAACTATTTAAGAGAAAATTTTGCTTGCGTAGTCTTGTTGACAATAGTGTCTCTTAGAGAAGAACCGTCAGTTCTGTTCTTACTGTAGCAACAAGCTAATGATGTGCAATAGTACAAGCAGACAACTGGAAGACTGTTTAATCTTGGACCACGACGGCAGCTGGCGTTGCCTGACTCTGGAGGAGTCAGGCAGAGGGTTGCACTGCCATTCCGGACCCTCGGAGCTCCTCTTCCCTCCTCCCTCGGGCTAAAACTCAAACCCAGCAGAGGCAGAGTTGGAAATGTTGTACTTGTCTTGCTACTAGGACTTTTCTGAAGATAGCTAGCTCTTTTCACAAATTTCAGGATTTTTATAGACCTTTATATTGCCTCTGGCCATTACTGAGAATACATGCATAAATGTGTGTGTGGTTGTGTGTGTGTGGAATTATTCTTCCCATGTGCTAAAACAACAGTGCTTTACTGCATTACATTGAGTAAAGCGGCAGTTAGCAGCTTTAGGACAAGCCTTCTGGGGTGAGTAGGGAGCACTGGGTTAATCTATAACTTAGTTTTCAGCTGTGTTAAAATTAACCCTGTGGCAATAATTTGTGGATCAGAATATTCTGTTCTCAGCTTCCATCTCAACTTTATCAGGCCTTGTTTGGTTATTGAATCAGTTTCTTTTTTCAAGTGGTGTTTGCTGGTAACTCCTCCCCCTAATAATTGGTTTTCTGCTTTACTTCCAGCCCGGGAAGCTATCCTAGAGCTAGATGTTACTAGTTAAACTTCAACTGCTCTCAGCCCTGGCACGCTGACCAGCTCTGGGGAGGTGGAAGGAACGGCCTGACCTGCCTCTGGCTAACGCAGCACAGAGAAAAATCCCCTTTTTTAAAAAAGAAAGCAGTGTGATGCAATTCTGCCAGGGCCCTGGGAACCCACCCTAGTGGCACTCCTGGGGTGGAGAAGCAGCAGCACCATTTGATGAGATGCAGCATGTTGTACCTGCTCCCCACTGCTCCTGGCAGGGGGGCAGGCGGCTGCCTTGAGGCCTAATTCACTGCACAATTCAGGTTACGGCCTTTTTTTTTTCTTCTTACATAAAAGGAGAAAAAACTTTATAGGATCTGTAGCTCTTTTGACCAAAGTTCAAAAACAAAGGCCTTTGCTTACATTTCAGTTACACTGAGGTCACAGGAATTGCATTTTTAAGTGTAAAGGGAACTCAGATACCATTTCAATTATTATTTGAAATATAAACTGGTGCCTTTTTTTCTTTTTTCCATTGGGTCAGTACTTAACCATTAAAAGTTACATTACTTTCCTCAAAATAACATTCTTTTTGTGTTAGTTTTAAAAAGTCTTGCTGATACTTAAGTTGGAGGCCAAAAGTTGAACGCACGTGTGTTAATTGTGTATGAATGAAAAGCAGAACCTTGCCTGCAAGTTTATTAGAGGCTCGGGTTCCATGTCCAAGGTTAATTTTGCATTTGTCTTGTGACTCTGATGTCTTCAACGTGTCTCCAGGCAGCGAGGTTTGAGGGGCTGGAGCGCGGCAGGCGGTTTTAACTCCATACAGATCGTACCCGTGCTCTTGGGTTGGTGTTTGTCTCCTTCCCAAAGCTGAGGGATGTGTGACTGTTCCCTCAGCCACCAGAACGGGGACCAATTCCCTTAAAACAAGTCAGAGACAAACGGAAGTTTTCAGTTGTCCTTAGGCTTTGCCTTCCAGGTGAGGCAGCCTTGGGGTACTGCAGGCACCTGCTCAGCCCGGTCTAAAACATGACGAGTGCCTCGTGTGTCTCTGGGGTGTACGAGCTGAGCATGGTGTAAGGAAAAAGAAGTAGAATAATAATAAATTGTGCTGGAAAAATTAAATCTTGCACTATCCCTGGTAGTAAGTAATATCCTGTTAGCTGCAGGAAAGACAAACTGAGATGAGACACCTTAATTCTTCAGCAGCGTGGTGTATTTATCAGTCAAGCTAGGGGAAGGTGTATAATTGGAATGTCATCTTAATTAGAATGTCAGATATATGCAGAAACGTACGATTTTAAACATTTTACACAGGGAGAGTTACCAGAACAAGAATAGGGAAAAATGTGACTGTAGAATTTTTTCATTGGCATCGTTCATAGTGACCCTGCGATGATCTGCACAAGGAAGCAGAAGTCAAGTCACACACTTTTCACTTGAGTATTCAGTTATAAAGCACAACCCTGCTCCAGTACTGTTATAAAACCACATTTTTGATGATGCTTCTTGTAAGAAATATTAAAATATGCAAATACTGCAAAAGGCCAGAGATGGTTATGTAGAAATAAAGGCCTAAAACGAATTAAAAGTAAAGGTTAGTGGTGAGGTAGAAGTCAGTCTACTATTGCCTTCCTGAGAACAGGGCCCGTGCTGCAGCAGGAAGGGATTTTGACCAGAATTCTAACTCGGATGAGGCGTTCCTGTGTCTTGGTAGATACTTACTGTATTGAACAGGTGGCTCTAAGGTACCTGAGGTTAAAGATGCAAGTTTCCTCCCTAATTTCAGTTACTGCCTTCACTCTTCCAGCTGTACGCAGGCGTTGGAGTGTCTTACGGATCACACCACCTTCCTTCTGCTGTCATTTTGAAGTTTTCAGCTGCTTAGAAATCTTTCCCCTCTCACCTCCCCACTCCTTAAACCAGAAAACCAACATCTCTGCTTCGTTTAATTCTCCGAATCATCTGCAAGGGAGATTGTTACAGTTGGTTTGAGTTTTATTATATTAATTTGCTGTATGCAAAGGTTTGGGGTTTGGTGTGTTGTTTTTTTTCCTAGTGTACTTAAAGTTACCTATTTGGGAGCACAACTGTGTTCCTGTAATCCCTTTTGGTTGATGGATGTGAAAGTTTAAGTGAAGTTTACAGTTCAAATAGAACATGTTGTAGAAAACAAACCAATTAGGAGGTACGCTTTCCTCAAGGACTTCAGTCAGCTCCCTCTGCAGCACTGTAACATTTACAATGTCCTTAAAGACTTTTCTTTCTGATGCCTTAACTTATTTGCATATGCTAAAATTTCATAGCTGGTGCCTGTGTGCAGAAATTAACTGACATTACACAATTCAAAGTGGCATGAGCTAGTATAAATCCAATGAAAATGCTGAATGTGATGATTTGTTAATTGTTAATAGATTTCAACCTGCTCTGAATTGGATACATAAGTTTCACAGAACCTGTCACGTAACGATGTTTTCATTAATTCTAATGCATTGAGGAAGTGTACAAAAACCCATGGAAAATGTGAATAAACGAATGGGAGAGAAGTGTCTCGCCTGTGTCCCTTTCCCTTTGACTGTTTAACGCTGTATTGATAATGGGGATTTTACAGTGGGTTGCTTGCAGGTGAACTCCTACCTAGCAAATCCCGCCTTGCTAAGCACCAGTTCAGCAAAACTGCCGCCTTCTTGCCAGGGCAGTGAGCTGACACCATGACTGCAGAGAAACGCTACGAGAGTTGACTGTAGAGATCAACCTCTCACACTTTCCACGCCAACACTAAAAGATTAAAGAGCAAAAGTAAGCTGTGTAGAACTTGGGCTGGATCTAAACTAAAAGTCCTATCCTAAAGCTGGGCCACAAAGTGATTCTTCGCTTCATTGTTTCGTGATCGTTTGGCCAAACAGGAAAAAATAAAAATTAACAATAAGATCAGACAAACTTACCCTGGCAAGTGTAGATCATCCTCCCCATGCTGTTAAGTCCTGCCTAAACTGGGTGTAATTCTGGAGCCATTCACCCCACACCCCAAACAGAGGAGCTACTCCTTGCGTGAGGATACGGCTGTTGGGTCGCAAAGCCTTAACCTAGAGATGCCCCCTCATCACCCCGACAGCTACAGTGATCGGGGAGAACCAAGAGCCTAGCGATGCAGTCGCTATCAGCAGTGCCATGTTTCTACCCAAATTGCCCGGTGCTTTTTTTTTTTTTTCCAACAACCTGCAAAACCCCACAAAACAACTCTATGCACTTGGGCTGTCAGCATTAGTTCACATTTTGAACATTTTTTCCTTAAAAAGACAGCCAGCACCGCTTACTTTAGGCAGCTCTAAAGAAAAAAAGCAACGTACCGGTTCAGAAGAGCAGAAACAAGCTGCTCATTCATTTCAGGCTGGGGCAGTCTGGGAACTCCAGTGCTCAACGCTTTGCCAGTCAGCAAAGGTTTTGCCACTCGCACAACGAGGAGAAAAAGTAACAGTGCAGAAGACAGCAAGACCTGAACACCCCGACAAGGAAAATGCAACGCTCCAAGCAGAGTCTGCGTTAATCAAAATCAGCCTCTGCCCTAATCCAGGAGGAAACCCCCCCTCAGAGCAGACCTGTTACAGCAACCCAGTGGTACCGAGGTCAGAACTGATCCACCTGAAACACACACCAAGTACAAGCTAAAGGCCATGTCGTTGGCTAGAAAAATATGTAAGGTGACAAACTTTAATCATGCTCCAAACGATGCGTCGACAGACAGGTTACCTGGTTTAATCAAGCTCCTGCTAAAGACCAAGGGGAAAGCCAGAGGAAGAGCAACAGCCAGCTGAGTAACTTTGGAGTAACGTGCCTTAGCTACGCATAACATTTGAAGCCATGAAGGACTTCAGGCTCCAAGTGTGGTAAACAGCTTGCTTTGGTAAAATACTTGCTTCACAGAAAGGTCACAAGGCAACACGACTAGAGTTTAATTTTTGCAACGAACTTTTTTGGGTATTCAGTAGGTGACGCTGGATGACAAACCCCTGAGCTCCCTCACAAGTTCCCATATGTGTCCGTGAGCTCCCCCGGCTGGCAGAGCAGCAGGAGACACAGGAGGGGCAGCACGAAAAGCCCCAGAGGCTGCACTAGGTGACTAAAGAGGTGGCAGAAGAATTCACATGGCTTGAAGTCGTCAGCCAGACTGCTGTTAGGGACTGATCATTTTTTTTAAGGCATCGTGCTCGTTTGGAAATTCCGATTTGCATCTGAGCATCCTGAATAAATATTAAATGTTCATAATCATTAGTTTAGTGGGTATTGCTATTAGGAACACCATAACCTTTACTGAGAGGTAGCACAGAAATGGATCATCTCTGCAGAGGCTTGAAAGACACGAAGAGAGTTGCCTGCTCAGGCAGCACCACTGAGTAAAAAAAAAGTCTCCGACTTTGGTTTACCACCTTACATTGCAGATGACATAACACAGTACAAATTTTTTTGTTTAAATGCTGGTCAGTGGTAGTTTTAGAGCCCTACAACTGGTGGGCACTTCAGGCATTCTTCTTACCTGCAAATGGTCATTCTGTTGGCTGCAGTTCCAGGGAAAACTTGCAGATGGTTTCTCCATTGCAAAAAGCAGATTCCTAAACACTGAAGAGAAAATGGTAGATCATACACCAAATGTAATTACTTTGGTGGTTTATGAAATAAGTGTTTCCTTACCTTTACAATGAAGTTTTGGGGCACAGGTCTGCTGGGGAGCGGCTGGGGGAACTGGGGGGGTTCAGTCTGGAGAAGAGGAGGCC